AGCGCCTCTTACTAGAAACTGAGTAGATTAAAAATAACTTTGATTGGACCAAACTAGGATAACTATAAATTGGACTTAGAAGAGTAACATAAATTTAAGATAAAAACCTGCCCAACTTCTACAGCTTCAAGCAACTTGTCCTCCGGAAGAAAATCACAATACCCCTGTAACAACAAGATTAATTAGTACTGAATTTGATGACACTAACTACTATGGGCAAGTGGCATCTATATCATAAAAAGAAAAACAACTGATCATAGTGTTAGTAGAATATTTCATGCACACAGCAACTGCCTGACAATTTCATAGTATGCTATTTGTTAACCATTCAAATATTTTTGGATTTTATGCATTACATTTTGAAAGTGCATTTATGACCTACGGAAAGCAGGTTGCTCATCTCCTGTACCACTGTCTAGGCTCGCATCATACTGAACACTTAGATAGAATGGATCGTAACTGGTACCACTCTACGCTCCTTGGGTAGAAGAATATTCAATTTTTATGCTCTCTCATTTATCATGAAGCTTTTACTAGATAGAAAATCTACCTCAATCATCAATATTGCATTGTTTGTGCCTGCTAGTAGCAAATCCAACTTCGAGTTTTCCATTTCCTGAATGGTTGGATTCACAATGAACTTATCACCAATAAGACCAATTCGAACTCCTGCTATAACTTCTGAACTTGGTACTTCTGACAAAGCCCTGTTGCACAACTTGAAAGAAATTGCCTCAAATTACCATCAGTAAACCAGCCTTTACTAGCGTAGGAATGGAAGAGCATCAAGGGAATTTTCTTACATAGCAATTCCAGCAGCCGTAACTGCCAAGGCATCTGGTGGATGCAAACNGAATTTGCTTACATAGCAATTCCAGCAGCCGTAACTGCCAAGGCATCTGGTGGATGCAAACCGTCATAACTTAATACCTTCAAAGTTACAATGATAGTGCAACTTAAAAGGCCACATCAAGACATTCGAGCAGATACACTATCAAAGGAACATCAACAAATATTAAGAGGATGGTTGCAAGAAAGCATATGAGCTTACCCAAGAAAGTACTTGGGTTTCATGGTAGAATCCCTTAAGCATGGTTGGACGTAAAGGCCTATCAATCAATCTACAAATGAGAACCTGCAAGAAGCAAGACATTTCAATACAGACAACAGTATTGAGACCTCGTATAACATAAAATATTAGCTGTGGTTTAGCAATGGCATCCAAGAAAAAAGCATTCAGTTCCTATGGATAGAAATGTCGTCTTTCAGGTTATCACAATCTTAGAAAGATTGACAGGATTACCAACTCCAAAGGCTCTTGCACACACATTAATATTCTCTTCAGCAAGGACATAGTACATACCCTCCACCATCTCTCCTCCTTTTTCACAAAATGACAAAGTTTTCTCAAAATCCATCCTATAGCAGTCAGCATTGCAACTGAAATCAGATGTGTTGTAAATCACGGTCTAGTTTGTAAGACATGATATATGATTTTGTCACGGACCTTTCAGATACTCTGACCTTCTCAGTAAGATCCAATACTTTATAGATATAAGGGTATCTTTTACTAATAAATTGGAAGAGGCCAGAGGAGAAACCAGTCAAAAGACATCTAAAAATTTTTGCAGCCCAACTTTTAAATATTATATTGTTATTGGTAAGAATATTGTGATATTATTAGAAAATATGTTATATATCAATTGGAATCAGTAGGAATTAATACTTAATAAATAAAAAAAAGCATCACTAGAAATTAATTTGGGAGATTATTGTTTGTATAATTATGTGACCTTGATATTCTTTCCTACTTAAGAATAGGTTACATCACTGATGTTGGGCATATTTATGTATGGTTTGATAGTAATTTACTTGCATTGTTACAGCTCTTTGGTTATATTTCCTGTCGAATATGCCCAACTTAGCTTAATTATTGGTTTCACACTGATTTTGGGTGTTAATGAGTTGCATAAGTACAATGGAGATGAATTTGGAGAAAACCCCATTGTTGTCGGGAAGCACCTGAAGTAGCCTAGTAGCTCACATCGTCAACATATAGCCGAGCTGGCTAACGAGAGAAGCACCCGAATCCTGACTGCAGAGAGTGCAGGCTTACAAGGCTGTATCTCTATCCTTCTGATTTCCAACAAGATTTTGAGTGCTTTCAGTACGTCAACTTTCTAGCGACTTTTTTTTATAGCTCCTAATGGTTAACATACTCTAACCAGCTTATTATGCCTCTTTACTAAAGACATCTCTCAAGCTCATCTAATGTCACTCGTAGTTGATGTTTTCGGTTCCAAAATGGGGACCTAGTAATTCGAGTCTTATGATTACCACAGAAACTTGATAGGTAGCACAAACTAATTATCATAGTTTTCTTCTGTTCAGTTATGGTATAAACGACAAGGTGTTTGTTTTTGAGAAACCCATATTGGTGGATGGATGCGTTCTTAACCTCGGACTTTTTCTTCCCGCCTTTCCCCCAACTAAAATCACTCTAAGCACTCGGTATCGTCTTGAGAAATTATCACCCCATGAGCTAGCTTTTGAGTTGACTTAGGCAGCTAAGGTCCATTTTTTAACATGGTACCAGAGTGAGGCTCATCCTTGTTATTGTTTTTTCTCTATGTTGGGCCCCCATATTATATTGTCCATGCTCCAGTTGGCAAGCCTGGGCGTAAGGGGGTGTTTAGGATCCCACATTGGTAGAGGATGGGTTGTTTGTCTCCTTATATGTTCCTGAGCAATCCTCACATCATGAACTAGCTTTCAGGTTGAGTTAGATCCAAGGTTATGTGAAGCACCCCACAGTAGTAGATGAATGATTGTGGTCTCTTTATATGGTATTGAACAATGATGGAGCAATTTAATGAGTTGATGCCCATCTCCACAGACAAGTGGAGTAATGATAGAAGATGTTTTTAGTCCTTACACTTGTTGAGCTTCAATTGGATTTTGACTCCATGCATGACTAAGTCTTGGCTAAATTTATTATACCAACAGTGGATGACTTGTTCCCTCGCTTACCATGACTTGTTGCACCTCCTGCTACACCACCTTATCACATGGTGATCTCATCGTCAACAAGAGACTCGTTTGTCGTAGCATCTCAGGCTATTGATTGGGTGGTTGTTTTGGAAAATCCCGACCAAAGTAGTACTTATTGCCATCTGATGTGTCACTCTTTCTTTTTCCTTGACAGCGGCTGTCTTTATATACCATCCTTTGCTGTTCAAATTCTATCACTTGAGTATTCATACGCCTGGTGTACTACCATTTCCTGCAAATCTCTCCTACACCTTCTAAAGCATATCTCATCACCTGGCATATGCACATCAGAATATTTTGACTAATATGGATGATTGTCATGAAGTTTTTCTGCCTCCAATCCATCTCTATCAATTTGATGGCCCATCTTTGTTTACATCGAAAGTTTTCTTTCTGACTATGAATAAAATTTCCCACCCATAGTCAAAAGGGAATCAGTGAAATGCAGCTAAGTTTTTTATTCAATTACCTTTCTCATCGCCGCATGCTAAGCTTAAATTACTCAGTGATTATTTCAAGACCCAACTAAGTTGAAAGAAAAGGTTTTGAACTGTAATGTAACTGAGATGTGATCGATAGGGAACTACTACTATGCCTAAATTCCAAGCAAGTTAGGAATGGCTATATGAGTCCTCACTGATCATGTTGCTCCATTTCAGCTCATCTCAGACCGATATGCCAATCAAAGCTTAGAATCATCCGAAATTCATAAGACACAAGGTAACTACAACAGAAAGTTGTGCAACAAGCAATATAGCTTTGCGCAAAAGAAAACTAAGAGAACTAACCCATCCCACAGAACATATACCTTGGTCTTGAAAATGCCTAGAATAACACTCACTCTATCTGCACTACTGACCATTTCAGAACAATCTGGACCGTCATAGTGTAGTTAAGCCTATTGCTTTATCTCAAAATGCTATAGAGTATCAAGAACCAAGATTCTTAACACACAAAATGTCTGACAGACCATCATGATATCATAGCACAAGGACGAGATAAAAGAAAATGAATTGTAGCTTACTTGGTTATAAATAACTAGTCAATCCACATGTATAATCATTTGGAAGGACCAAATGCAGCAGAAACAAGAGAAATGTCTGAAGACAAAGAATGAACATCTACACAGGATACTCACATCTGTCCATTTCAGAACAGGCTAAGATAAAAGAAAATGAATTGTAGCTTACTTGGTTATAAATAACTAGTCAATCCACATGTATAATCATTTGGAAGGACCAAATGCAGCAGAAACAAGAGAAATGTCTGTAAGACAAAGAATGAACATCTACACAGGATACTCACATCTGTCCATTTCAGAACAGGCTAAAAGTGGAAATTTAGATGACCTAAAGTACCAGATTCACAGGAGACCCTTTTAAACTGTAACCAGTTTATTTGCTAAACCCAAATCCCTGAGAGAAGAAGCATGTGATTTACTCTATTAAAAGATTTGCGAAGTAAACCTAAGAATCTCACAAGACTTGCCATTTAGCAACCTCAAAAAACTTACTATCCTTATTTGTTGACTACGTAAGCGTGTGATTGGAAAGACGGGACGTTTGCAGGATGGCCTGTTTATCAGACGAACTAGAATTAAAGTATCAAATGTCTTCATTCTAAGCTGCATGACGCAGCTGTGGTTGTTTCAATGGAAGTGACCATTTATAAAGGCTAATCTAAGTTTAATGAGGTCCCACAGTTATCGAGGTTGGGACCTCATTATAGGTTTTTATAAAGGAGCTGACAGCTGCAAATTATGTAAATTTGGCAGTCTCCCAGTATCCAAAAATATGAGATTTGATGTTCCCTTGCATTTGCCTTTTGTTGCAATTTTAACAAGTGATATTATCACATTTTCTAAAGGAGCCCTCAAACATAAGATCAACTTGTTCTAAACGACATTCAATCATTGGTATTCATGCAAAACAATGATAAAATTTCTGCATTCGAAAAGATGTTCTCATAAATATCCAAAAATCTGAAACATATGAGAGTTTGGACCTGGAGGACAAGAAACTGTGTATATTTCTTTGATCCCTGAAAGTGAATTCAGCATCAAAGCCAACTTAATTATATGTAATTAAGGTAATCATTACTCAGTTAAACTTACACAATATCTATTTTGGTAACCAAAAGGTATGCAATATCTATTAAATTGAATATCAGAAACCAGGTGCTAGTCTTTGCATATTCCAGACTTATTTTAGCCCATAATCATATTATTCACAAACAACATCTCATGTACTTTGACGAGAAAAGTAACTCTCTCTTGGTGGAAATTAACACTAATAAAGCATTTTTGCCATAACAAAACAGCCAACTACCAGAGAGCATCTATTCGAGATTCTTCATTTCCTTTTACATACATGGCATGGTTGGATAATTTTGTATAGATCATTGGTGTGAGAAGCCACGGGAGAAAATATGTTATTGATATTGGATGATAAATACAATACAAGAGGTCCCTATTTATAGCTATACACTACAAGGAGATATTACTCCTCTTCCAATGTGGGACAAGACTACACTATATTAAACTAACACTCCCCCTCAAGCCGGTGCATACACATCATATGTACCGAGCTTGTTACACATGTAACTAATACGAGAACCAGTAAGAGACTTAGTGAAAATATTTGCTAGTTGATCATTCGACTTTACAAACTTTGTAACAATATCTCCTGAAAGTATTTTTTCTCTGACAAAGTGACAGTCGATCTCAATGTGTTTAGTCCTCTCATGGAACACCAGATTTGACGCAATATGAAGAGCAGCTTGACTATCACACACTAGCTCCATCTTGCTGAATTCTCCGAACTTTAACTCATTGAGCAACTGCTTGACCCAAACTAACTCACACGTCGCCATAGCCATGGCCCGATATTCGGCTTCGGCGCTAGATCGAGCAACTACATTTTCTTTCTTGCTCTTCCACGAGACCAAATTACCTCCTACTAGAACACAATATCCAGACGTAGAACGTCTATCAAAAGGTGATCCTGCCCAAGCATCTGTGTACCCAACAATCTGATCGTGGCCTCGATCCTCGAATAGTAATCATTTGCCTTGAGCTGACTTTATATGCCGAAGAATGCGAACTGCATCCCAGTGACTATCACAGGGAGAATCCATAAACTGACTTACAACACTCACCGGAAAAGAAATGTCAGGTCTAGTCACTGTGAGGTAATTCAATTTGCCAACCAACCTCCTATATCTCGTTGGGTCTCTAAGAGGCT